CAACCCCTGACGACCACCACCAGGAGGCACTGAGCAGGCGCAGTGGGGAGGGACTTATGGAAATGACCTCCTGAAGCTAATTTTAATACAAAGTGGAGACAGGTTATGCATATGTATAGGCATATTGGAAAACTTCATACATATGTAATACTTTGCTACATATAAATGGGCAAGTTGCGACTTGATGGTATGCACGTTAGGTGGAGCGATCCCCCGTGCATCCGGTGCCGTGAATAAAGAATGCCTGCCTTCTAACACTACCTTGGTGTTATGAGGTTCATTCTTCCCGATTTCGTTGGCAATATGAACTGTGGGACTCTGCGCAATTTCGATCGTCTTGTTGTGGTTGCTGATCCCTACTTTGATGTGCCCTCTTCCCCTTTATTTGCCTTGGTATCTCTGTGAAGAAACATAGGACAAAATATATGGGCCACATTACACAGTCCAGCCCTTGTCTGCCATAAAGCTGCTATCTTAGAGCTTTTTTTGTAAACTGGTCAAACCCCAATATTGCAGGGTTTTTTTTCATTCTTGCTGTATTGAAAGTACTGCTCCAGAGCTCCATTGTTCTTTGAATATCTGAATTTCCCATTAAATTAGGTAGGAGTCTACATTAATAAGATGCTTTCAGAAATGCATTTCTGGCTCTTCTTTTTGCCAGGGATTCCCTGTTAAAATGTCTGAGAAAAATCATCACATATTAAATCGTTTGTATGTGCAGAAAAATCAGTTTACTGTTGTCATGATCCACTATTGGGTTGAACAATTTGGCAGAGGTTAAACTCCCTTGCTTTCCAACCGACCTCAGATAATTCTGGGAAGTTGGGGCCAGCTGGGCATAACTTCTGATTAACTCCAATATTTTATCGTGACTAGGTTCCTTTTACATTCTCGGAAACAGAATTAAGACTCAAAACGGAGTCAAGTGCCAAGTCACTTTATTTGGCCAACCACAAATACACGAGAGAAAAGCAGAGAAAGAGAGGAAAAGCGAGAAAGGGAAAAAGAGGGGGAGGGCGGCCCGTAGTTATCCACACGGTCTGTGCGGCTGGTGCGGCCTGAGTGGTCCGATGTGCCTGATGTATCTTCAAATCTGCTGGAGGGTAGATGTTCCTGGACGCTCCCCCGTGGTCTCTGCTGGTTCCCCTTTCATAAGGTTGTCTTTTTGCATAGTCAATGATTGTTTTGCATACCCACGCCTCCCGCTTGGCAGTGGGGCGCATGCCCAGTACCGTCACTAGAGCATGCTTGAAATTTCTAGGGGGTCCGAGCCCCCTCCCCATTGTCAGTTGACTCTGGGCCTGGCTGCATGCACAGAGGACGTGTACTTCAAGATAGCAGGACACACATTCCTGTGGGGTGGGACTCAATGGGCTGAAACTGCCCTACTCAATTGCCGTGGTGATTAGGCCATTCTGGTGGGGTGGGACTCAATGGGCTGAAACTGGTGATTAAACTGCCCCACTCAGTTGCCGTGGTGATTAAGTTTTGGTAGTTAAGCTTGCCTGCCACCAATGTTGAGACAAGTTTCTAGTCCCTTACAACTGTCATAAACTATTTCCTATTCCTTTGTGTTCATACTTTCTCATTAAGGGTTATGTGTTTTGCGATAGTTAATCCCCTTTTGTACTTTTCTTTCAACATGGGTCTGAGCAACCTACAAAATTGTTCCTGTAAAGCATTTTCCTTCTTTTTTCATAACCATAGCAGTGTGTTGTTATATCCTTCTGTCACTGATGATTGATAATAATGTTGAGGTGTCCATTGCCTCTGCTTGGTTGTGCACCTAAATGATATGAAAGTGATGCATATTTTTTTTTTTTTAGACATTTAGCTTTTCCTCAGTGGGAAAAAAAAAAAGAAGTTTGAAGTGAACACGTTGCTGTAAGGCAAGAAAATGATTGATTGGGTGGATATAAAACAATTGGAGAGATGTGTGTCCTCATGTGTGTAATAGCTTGTGCCAGGAGCTGGAGTTGGGTGGGGAAATGCAAGAGAGAATGAAAATGTGTTCTATTATCAGAGGGGGTTTTTTTCAACATCAGCATGAATAGAAACTTCTCCTAGGAAGCTATATTGCCAACGAAATCGGGAAGAATGAACCTCATAACACCAAGGTAGTGTTAGAAGGCAGGCATTCTTTATTCACGGCACCGGATGCACGGGGGATCGCTCCACCTAACGTGCATACCATCAAGTCGCAACTTGCCCATTTATATGTAGCAAAGTATTACATATGTATGAAGTTTTCCAATATGCCTATACATATTGTTATAAATTGAGACCACAATTGATCATAATCCAATTAAAATTTTATTAATTATAGCAAGTAGAATATGAGCAAATACAGCGCTGGACGGCAGGGGAGTCTGCGCTCCACCAACTGCCGTCCTGAGCAGTTCAAACAGTCTCTTTTTATACATCTTTACTTCCGTGTTCAATGAAGTAGTGGAGGTACTCTGCGCATGCTTCAGTTGTTGTTAGGGGGTCGTTTTCTGCCTCTTGGTGGTCGTTGAGGCCGAAGTAAGAAGTCTTCCTCCTTTGTCCCATAGTTGACCCCTCACTCATATGTCCTTATATGGGGTTGTTTGTCCTGTTGCTGGCGGTTCCTGGACATCTGGCGGTTATCTTGCACAGGCGGTATCCTGTTTAGTTTGTGTTAGCGATTGCGGTTATCTTATCTTTTGTTGCCTAACCTTTACATTGAGCTTAACATAAATCTT